TTGTGGGCCAAAAGATCATGGAGCCTTGGAGGAAAAAAAAAATTAGAATTTTTTTAAATATTAAAGTAAAATCACAGGAGCACAGTTATCACAGTTGTGCTGATATTTAGATCAACTGCATAATTGCGAGTGAGTGCTGCTTTTGAACAGAGCCCTGCATGACAAAAAAAAACAAGATATGGCCACATATTAAGAATTTGCTCCCTTATCTTATTAATTTGTTTTAGTTAAAGCATGGCCAAATTTCACTCAATTAAAACAAGGGAACTATACAGTGTGGCCACTATTGACCTAAAATGAGAGAATGAATTAGTAAAATGTGGCATTCTTAGTTTGCGTCCATAAAAAAATTTTTTTTCCACATTGCATGCAATGCTCCATATTTTATACAGCAGTTTAATAAGTGGTTAATATAGAGTAACTTCAATTTGAGACTGTTTTGTCTATTTTTGCTCCGTCAAAAAAATAGTTCCAAATCAACCATTGCAATCATCTCCGAGCAACACTATTGATTTTTCTTCCCTGAATTAATGAAGGTGCTTGAACGAATTGGTTGAGTGAATAGTTCAATAACTAACTCATAAAGACAGTCACTTCAGAGACAGGATTTTGGTAGCCCATTTCGTTTCTAAATAAATCAAATCCTTTCCAGTAAAAGGAATCAAATGACTCAATCATAGTGTTAAGGCTTGTGCACACCGGGACGAATATCATGCGCGATTATCGCCTACGTTTAATGCCTCGTGACTAAATAAAGGGCCCCAATAGGCGTGTTCGACTTCATGCAGCGCTGCGCAGACCAATCGGCGACAGCAGCCGCTTGCAGTCGGGGGCGGAATTGAAAGCGGAGATGTCAAGTCGGACACTTTTTGCTCCAGGTAGTGACGCTCTCACGGTGTTTGCATACTCGATCACAGATTAAGTGAATAACATGCAATATTTGTCAAATACACAGCCGTTTCAGAAACGTTTTCATGAGCAACAGAAACACTTTTTATATACTGCTTGATACAGCGCCACCTGTTAAAGAATAAAGTTCAACATAAACGTGCTTTTTAAATACCAATAAAGTGGGGGTATACATTATGCTTTTATCAGTGTTTTATTTAAAAAAAAAAATTATATAAACGTGACTCAATATAACATTGCTACTACAGTAAAAAAAGCTTTTACCGTTCTAAAAACACAGATTTGTGAGCAGTATTGAAGATGTTAGAAACACGTCATTGTCGTCATGTGGTG